TTTTCACACGCCAAGGCAAAAATCAGTCGAAATTTGATAAAGTTTTCAAGCATGTTCATTATACTAATATTTATTTTATAATATTACAATAAGATTCTTGTAGATTTTTATGATTGAGATATAGTCAGTACTTAAATATCAATTTAAAGAAATTAAGTATTTTATTTTCAGTTTAGACTAGATGTTTTCGCACTTATTATTCAATTAATAATATTTTAGAAGTGTATGCTTTCTTAACAATATTTAATTTTTTATCCTTTGAGTAAATGTTTTCTTTGTTTAGTAATTGTTAATACCTGTAATAAAATACATTTTTATTTTATTTGTTAATAATATATATTAATAGTTAACTGTTTTTTGAGTGATAAATATACTATGTGCTAGACACTAATTAGTTGACAATAATATTGTAAAATAACAGTTTAGAAAATATGTACAGTAATAGTAACATTAATATAATAATTTAAAATAAAAATTATTTATGTAATCTGATTAAAAATTAAATGCAATTTTATTTAAAATATTCTCGCAATAGTGAATAACGTGTTTTTGTCCTTAAACTAAATTATAGAAAAACAAAATTACATTTAAATAAATAATTAGAATATTATATAAATATGAAGACACTTATTATTATAATATATATATATATTATAAATAAATTTCAAGAACACGGCTTAAAATAATTTTTATTAATAATATAATATATAATGAATTAAATATCATAAATGTTTTGTTATTTAACACAATTAATTAGATAATTTAAACTACTTAATAAAGAAGATTTTGTTCATTTATTGAATTACTTGTAAAACTCTAACATTTAAGTCATAATCTATTTTGTCTATGGGATAATAAGTTCCAGAATACCTAGGTAGATTACAGACATAATAATACTTGATAATTCAATTTTAAATTCATTTATTTTCTAAAACCAAATATAGCTACTGTTACGTCTAATTTTTTGTTTTAATTAATTGACTACAAGGTTTAACTGATATAATGTTGGCTTGAATATTTATTTATTCGAATTTGAGATATTAAGTTTTTGTTTTTTCATTTTTATAAAACAAGATTTGTAAATTTAAAAGAAATATACCTACATAACAAATATCTAAATTTTCAATAGTTAAAATATTTTAATATGATTTATTTTAAATTGGAAAAATAAAATATATCTTTAGACTGAGTTCTTCATTATTTATAATTTATTATATGTACTAAACAAATTGTTTTATTAATAGGTACCTTCTTTATTTAACCGACTAATTTGTAACAATCATAATAATACAGTTATCCGTATAGTATAGTCTTATAAGTATAATTAAAAAATTAAAAATCTATCAAATTTTGAAATATCTTCTAAGGTTAAAGATTACAAATTTTAGTTTTTGATATTAATGGTAGGTACTCTTGATTTAAGTTTTAATTACGATGACTAAACTTAGAATACAGCTTGTAGGTTTACCAAATAAAGTATATTTAGATATATATATATATACTATATAATACTATATACTTATAGTTCGATAGAGAATTAGAAATTAATATCCAAATGATAAGATGTATAAATGAAAGTATCTAATTGACCATTTAACGAATTTTTTTGAAGACCTCGTATACCATTATTGTCTATAAATTATAGATAGTTAAATAAGGTTATACATAAATTAAAGTTGAAGTTAAGCTTTAAACATTAATAAATATGGAATTACATCGAAATAATGAATTATCATACTACGTTATAAAATATGAACGGTGAAGATACTTGATTTAAAATCAGAAAGTAAATAAAAGTAGAAGTAAAAATTAGTCTACTAGGTATTGTATATTTTCTTTTATTATCTGTTTTTTTGGTTTGCAACTCTTAATGGCTCAAAGTTGGTAATAAATAAAATGTTGTATTTAAATTTTGATCTAGAAATAATGACCCTGAAACATTTGTACATCTTGAAAGACAATACTTCCGTTTTTGGAATTAGAACACTGAAAAAATACACATGATGTATTTACGAGTCAATGAAACCATAAACTGAAATTTTAACTATACCATACATCTTTATAGTGTTGATATACTTATGTTTTATTTTGTATTTGTTTCCATACTTCAATTATACTATTGTGCAATGTGCACACTTTACCATGCAATGGACTTATAATACGAATTGCTGTTTATTATGGTATAATAGTTAACGACTCACAACACTATTCTCTTAAAACCAATTTATTTAGACAATAATTTTTTATAATTTTTTTTCAATATCTATGTTTTCAGATTTTTAAATATATAGTATCACTTAAATTTTCATGAGATTATGAAAATTTATATAAATTATAGTGTTTTAATACTAAATAAATACTTTAATATTATTTTCAGATGGAGCATTCACCATACTCGCAAAGTCCGAGTCCATCATCGTCATTAGTAAACTTTCCAACACCCACAAACTTACCAGATATCAGATTACACAGACCATTTAGTCAGGTAAATATTATATAATGTATAATATAAAATAATTAATGATAACAGAAATTCTCAAGTAATAATTTTTAATTCGTAAAATGTAACTAAATTACAACACTACATAAGTGTAGGTACATATTATAATATATAGCTTATCTTTACTTTGAAGTTTAATAAATGAGAATATTACCACTCTAAAATAAGTACTTAAGGACTTCTCGAGTTCTAAATCGACTTAAAAATTATGTAATGTATTGATAACTAGTTAGATGTCAAATATAATAAAACATATAATAAGAAAATAAAAGAAGCATCTACCTATTTTGTTTAATATTAAAATTGGCATTATAATAATTATATAATAATAAAAAAAAATTCAATTAAATTCAAGAAAATGAACTAGATAAAGTAATGCGATTATCATTTTAGTCTTATAAATTAAAATAGCGCCGTTTATTATGTTTTATTACGAAGTTATTTTAATATTATGTTATTTTACGTTTTACTACGGTAATTTATGATTTTACAACTGCATATTCGAAACATGATAACATAAAAATAACTGTGATTAGGAATCGATATAAGACACACACACACACACACACACACACACACACACACATATAAGTATTAATATATGCCTAACCTATATAGGTATTTAGAACAATTTGTATGTACAATTAAGGTATAAAATAAAATAAATTAAACATATTATTAAAATATTATGGTAAGCTACCGTATTATACCGTTTTCCATATAGCTAACACATAAAAACATGCTTCTCATTCATTTGTATATGTTATAGGTATAATTTATAATTGATAAATTGTAATATTGATTAGGTTAATCGTAATCTTGATATATTCTTACTATTGATTAAAAATATTCCTGAGTCATTTAAGTTACTTCAATATTGATTTAAAAAATAATTTCAATCAAATCATTCAAAATATTTAAAAGTCTAATTAACTTACTTGAATAACTAACTGATTTAAAGCAGTTTTTTTTTATCCTTATAAAAGTTAAGCATATAAAAAAAGTTTAAGTTTTCTTAGGTAATTTTAAGTATAAATTACAATTTTTTTTATATGCATTTAAACAAATACATGACCTAATGACTGTGTCAAGGTATTTGGGGAAAAAAAAAGGTAGGTAGGTACCTAATATTATTGTCAAGAACTTCTCAAGTAGGTATTAAGATACTAGATACTTATACCTAAATGTTGTTCAACTTGTTAAATCACTATAATAATTAGGGCCTTAACTGTTGATAAGATAAATTAATAGAATGAAAAATTATTATATTTTATACTGTTAAAATACTTACTTTTTTATGAACATGTAAATGTTCTATTTGTTTTAATTTATATTCATAACATAAAAATATTATTGTTTGATGAATAGAATGTATATCTAAGTACTTAATTTTACAAAAATAGTATAATTCATATAAGTGTTCTCTCTTTCTATATATGTATATAATGTAGAGTATACATTAAATATTATGAAACATTTTAGATTAGTGTTCACGATAAAAAGTATTTAAATAAAAAATGGTGTTAAAATCGATCATTACATAATTAGTAGGTAGTGTAATTGGTTACCTATATATATAATCTAATGCGTGCAAGATAATGCAATGCAACTATTTTGTGTATCAAACAACGATAACAACTAATATCTTATAACGATGGTAGGTATATAATTAAGTATAACAAGTGTAACAATATTGTTAAATATTTCAACTTACGCCAAAAAGTTGATAAATTAATTTCAGGTGAAAATAATTTTTTTTATTTCACAAATTATGATATGATATCTATAAAACTATTAAGCTTTCTGGAACTTTGAAATAACCCTCTTAGGTATTCAGTAAACTGCTGTACAAATCCACAAGGATTTATCCATTTACACAAGGTTACAATCATGCACATGTATGTTTTATGTAAACATTTGTGTTATTTCCATACAAATAGTATTTGGTTTGGTATGTGGCCATTTGTTCTGGCATTTTTATCTTGTCGACAATCCGTAAATCTTTCTAAAACTCCGTTCACTTTCGCCGTTGTTATCACTGGCACAACATCTTCTTTCTCGTTATTTTGCACAATATTCGCGGTAATCAATCTTGTCCACTGCATATGACCCGCCACCCTATTTCGCGTTCAAATAAAGCAACTACGAACGTTCATCGTTTCCTTAAAATAGGGAATCCTGAAATACAATATTGAAACACTGTAGGTATTGACACTAGTGGAGTATTCGTACTTTATCAACTATAAATTTATTAGTTAAAAATTAGTATCCACGTAAAATAGTATGCACGAAATAGTAATAATAGGTGGATATGTATACGTGTTTTATGCAAACTTAATTATATTAAGAATTTACATAAATTATTGCTTGAAAATTATACTAATAAATTACTATATATGTTCGTTTGACATCATGATAGAATCATTAAGATAATTGCATTTTGTATTAATTATAATAATAGTATTTTCATTTAAATTTACAACACACAATAATTGTTTTCGGTTTTGATTACAATATTTATGGACAAATTACGTTATAAATTAATAATGAAAATAATACTTTATAGATTTTATAAGGTTGAGTTAGTGCCGATAAATTGTGTAGGTAAAATTCAATTTTATCTTTATAATTTAACATCATTGTAATTTGTTGCTGATTAATAAAACGCTTGCATAAAACACAGCTTGTCTGCATGTTATAGTATTGTGGCTGATGGTCAGTGTAAAAAAAATCTAATAATAAAATTGTTTACGTAATGACAGAATTAAAATTTAAAATATTCATTGTGATGAATCAATACTTTGGCAGAAGTTATATCAAAAGTGTTACAATGCACATTGGTATAAATTATTAAATTATGTATTGATACTACTATACTATAAGTTAAATCCGATTTCGAACGAGCGTGTAAGTTTATAGTAAAAATAAACGAACATAAGTAGGTATAAAGAATATTAGCTGATCTATGAGATTTGATTAATCGGATATTTGATTTGTATATTATGAGTATACTGAATTAATTAGTACTATTGAAATTAAGTGCTTTAAATTAATTTTACTATACATATATACGTTATATATACATTTGTTATATTATAATCTATGTATATGTATATCCATATGCAACAGTAAATTTATAAAAATTTGATTGTTTTAATACAATTACACATAACTGATTATGATTGATATACAAATAATTAAAAACTTTAAATCACGAATACACTTTTATTTTAGAATATAATTTTTTTTTAGTACAAACGTTTGGTTTTTTTGTGTGAACATTTTGATTTTAATACAATTTTAGACACGCAAACACTAAATGTGTACACTTATCTAATATTTTTTTATTGTACTAAATTTAATTTAACGGATTATTAAACAGTACATAATTTGTTTATTTTATAATAATATTAAGTATGTGTTTCTTAGAAAATGATATGCAGTTTTATATAAATAATTACAACTAAATACTATTTATAATTATTATAATCGTAGAATAAATTATATTTGTTTTGTATTAGATTAGAACCTAACGCGTAAATACATTTCATAGCAAAATTTGTTTATAGATATTACATATCTACATAATAATTTTTTTTTCATTAAATACATTCACAACAGCTATAATTATTAGAGACAACAGAAAATAGTGTTAGTTTAAATACTTAGATGTGAGTTACAATACATTTTATATATTGTTATGGTACATTTATTACAAGATTAGAATATACAGATTAGAAAGTTTGAGATATTTGAATAACTTGATTGTAACGGTAGAGCCCAGACTGAGAATTACTTAGATGTTACTAGAAAGGATTATGGCATTTAATTATACGTATATCACCGTGAGTTGTCGCCACAGATGTTACAGATGGCTGGATTTTTCCTTAACATAATATATTAGTGAGCAAGTTTGTGTATTCCATCCTGAGTCAGTTGATTATTGTTTCTTGCCTTCTGGAAAGGTCGTTGTTGGGAGGTCAGCGAATAAGTAATCTTTTGATACAGTTTATTTCGGCATATAGTTCTTATCACTTTTTTTAAACAAAAGTCGAGGGTATATTATTTGCAAACTTTTTTAACATTTAGATAAGATAACTCAATATAGGGAAAACTGTAGAGGAAACATGGGTGAGTTTAGCATATTGGTCAGCTTTATTATTATCAGCGATTATTATCCTGGGATCCACAAAAAAAAAGATAGTATTTTGATTGACCTATGTTATGGATATTTCTTGCAATATCGATTAAGTGGTAAGTGTTTTGAATACTGATCAACACTCCAAAAGAATCTTTGAGTATTAGGGCTTGATTATTTTCCACTGATTTAATTGTTTATTTGATTGCCTAAGTATTGTTATAAGACTATTGCGTGTTATATATATTGAATATTTATTTAATAATTTTGATTCAATTTTAGTGTCTATGCATATGATTTTTCCTCTAAATTTTTGGTCTATTATTGACCCGTCTGTAAAAATTTAAGCGCGAAATTGGGTTTAAGTTATAATACTGTTGTAATCATTGTAAATAAGTTTTGAAAAATAAATTTTCTTAAAGAGTTTATTTTTGATAAAATAAACCTAGGCGAGAAAATGATAATTTCTTATGAAATTATGCATTCTAGATCGATTTTTCTATTTAATTTTTATAAATGTATGCATTTAAAAGGTTAAGAAATTCGTAGCACAGTTTTTGAAATTTTGGCAGTAAGTTTTAATATTTTATTATTATTATTATCGTATGATTAAAGAAAGTATTCTTGCAATTTTTTGAATAATATATATGGGGTTAGATTAAAATGCTCCTATTGAAAGTTATATCCATATACTAGAGTTATTGATAATTTGGGATATCTTAGTTACGTTTCATAAAAAGTATAAATGAATTACGTATCACATATTTGTCGGGTTTTTCATGGTGAAATAATAAGGATTTTTGAGTCCTGATATTATTTTTTAATATAATAGCTTATGCAATATTTTAATAATTTATAAAATACAATAATGAATGGATTTTTTCCCAATTTTTGGTTAATAGCAGTTGTAATTAACAAGTTGTCGTTTATCGCCATTATAATAAATCAAAAATTCAACCTTTATACTATGGTATCGGTTAAGCTTAGTAAATAATTAATAATATTAATTACACAATGTTTTAAATTTACCAAGCTCGTATGAAATATTTGAATAAGTATAGTGTTAAAACTTTAGTAGTATACATTCACAAGCAAGTATATTGTAAAATAAATTTATTATTTAATTAATAATAAGATGTTTAAGAATCCTTGATTAAAATACACGAATACACCTCTGATCTTCTAAGATGCAATTTGTGTGTACCTTTTTTATTACTGCACATACATAATTATTAAATATTTCATCAAATTTGGCGTATAGTAAATTTAAATAATCAACAAAAAGATTATAAGAAGTATATTTGATGAATATACTTCGAATTACCTAACTTTGAACGGATGAAACTTCGAATTGTCACGTTTTAGAGGACAATTTTTCCAAAATTCAATTTAAAATTACCAAATGTACTTAAATGAATGGTTTTTATTCGAATTACCGCGAGATTTTTAAGAGAATGAGCATTTACTTCGTATCACCGAAAGTTTCAAATTATCGGAGGTTTGAATTATCGAGAGTCGACTGTATAAACATAAATAAATATAACGAAATATATATTGATGGTTTTTTTTTTTTTTAATTATCTGATTTTATACCCTGACTGAGATTTTATTAGTTTTTATTGAGATTTGTGAATAAAAAAACAGATTTTTAATAAGATTCTAACTTAACTTAAAAGTTTATTTGTTGAATCTTATAGAAAATGTTTAATGGTTATGTAATTGTTGTTGCTACATAATATTATAAAATAACTGGCGTAAAGTAATGGAATAATAGGTTTTGATATTTACTTAGTTATATCATTAATGACGATCCTAAAGAGGTTTCATAAATTTCTAAGTTTTGAGATGTTGCAACTTACATTTCCTTATATAAATTAGTCAAAGAGGAGCTTGGTGTTTTTAATTGAAATATGTGGTCGTGTAAAAAAATTGTGTATTAAGTTATGTAAATCATCTTTGGATACTATTCTACTATTTTATTTAGTTTGTGTATTATTCTAGCAGGGTCATAGACTTTAACAATTTTCAAAGCTAATCTTACTTAGATTTTGTTTTTTCAATCTATTTCAATCTCACTTTTTATAATAATATGGTTATTTGATGTATTTCTATTTTGTCGAAGTTATTTCATTCTATAATGAAAAATGTTATTATTTCAAGGAACCAAATTAAACAGTTATTTAATAATTTATATTGTTTACACTCTATGTCTTTTCAAAATAATTAAACCATCTTCATTTTGTATGTATAGTTTGAGTTTTTCTTAACTTAATAGTTTCAAGAGTTTCTAAATTGTTGTACCATTCAATAACATAATTTATTTGCTTAAATATTATACTAAAAGAATAGTATTTTTAAAATTTTAAATTGATTGCAATAGATTGGTTGTTCTTAAAATATCTTGAGAATTCTTTTAAAATACTTAGGCAATATAGAAAATGATTAAATAATTATTTGAATTGTCTAAAAATTATGGGCAATCTAATTGCATTGATTTTTAATAATGACTTATATATAAATAGTTAAAACAAAATACAATCGCTAAGTATTGTAGCTGCATTTTCTAATACTTAATTATTTTTTAAGTTGATCGTTAAAATACTTTTAGTGAAAAAAAAATATATATATATTTAGTTAAACCAATTAGATTATTAATATTATTTACTTTTTTCTTTTTTTAAAGTTGTAGTATAGAAAAAATAATACTAACAATGGATTAATATTTTAAGAATTTTTAGACACTTGAACTTATTCAATTATATAATTACATACTTATAACCTAATTTAAACTTAATCTAAAATATGATTTATAAATTCGTTAAAAATAAAACACACAAGGTAGTCTGGAAGTACTGTGCCAATAAAGCGTAAGATTATACTACACTGTATAGTAACTATAGACCAAAAGGTATTTAATTGCCATGTTTATTTATAAATTATGCTTAGAAAAAAAAAGTGAAATGATTTTGCTTTATATTTTACTTTTAACATCGTTAATATTAGATATAATACACAAACAAATATGTTAGATAGTTTTCAAAATGAACATTGGAGTTTTGACTTCCAAGTTTACACATCATTACCAATATAGTATATTATATATACATTTATGCAGAGTGCCGATTGGATAATTTAATACTTATTATTTCGAAATAACGAAATGTATCAGTAGAGTGGCTTTCTGTGTTTTCTTATTTTATGTTAAATGATAAATTTAACTAACACACGTGAATGAGAACTCATGATAGACCACAGTGGCACATTTAAGAATTTGTCTTACAACATGACATTAATTATTAATCTGAATCCGATTATATCAAACAGGTAACATTTCTCAATGACAAGTTATCTTAAAATTGTAACATGATTAACACAAAATACATAATATACTACCTTAGAAGTTAAATGTATATTATTCAAAAACAATATTGAATATATACTATAACTACCTACTGCATTCAAGTATAAATGTATAAATGTGGTTTTAATTTATATTAAAATAAATGTTCATTTACGTGGTAATTGCATATTATTACTTATTAGTTATTATATTATAGTATTATTATCATATTTAACATCTTTAGTACAAAATCAAACTTTTCATTTTTTAAAACTTATCTTTTAATGTTTTCATATGGCGTAGTTTTGATAAACCAGTGACATGCTAATAATACCAATCAATTCTTACTTGTAATTATTATAATACTAAAATCTAACTTTTCCGAACAATCTTGAATTGGTAAGAATAGAATCAAATATGTATAGGTATTTTATGTACTTTATAGTATTATATAGTGTACCCATTTAGAATATTCTAGAATTATTTTTTTTAAATTGACATTAATTGAACATTTTTCGAGCATTAATTATTATTGTTATTTTATATTCGTCGTCGCTCACCGTCAAAATATTTGGAGGTCAATTATAATACGGATGGGTGTGTTTTCTGCATTGTATAAATACCCATCAATAAAGAAATATTTTCTTGAAATTTATAAAAAAAAAAATGTTTTGAAAAAGTCAATGGGGGACCATTCCCCATAAATTTGTCACTACAACATAGCTGATCATCCTGTGCATATGTCATATAGACACGCATCATAGTAGGTAAAAAATGTTATGACTTTTAAAAAAAACGTTTTGTTTAAAACCGTGAAACTTAAATTAGATTGTCTTTTAAATATCAAAAGTATTATGAGATTGGCATGATTAACAAACGTAATAATGTAATATACGAGTATATAATATATAGGCACAGTGGCGTAAATTGGACCTAATTTCTATTGGTATAGTGGCATATTCTCAGTCTATTATTTCTAACACACCAATAATCCAACTTCCTAAGTAAAATCCTTCTCAATAAACTATATTTTTTCCCATATATTTCTTTAAATAATAAATAAATTTATAATTATTTATTTGATAATCAAAGAATTATGCAGTTACTATAGATAATAATCTAATTATTTATGGTGGTTACACAATTTTAGAATCTAAATAGAGATAATAATTTGATTGATAATGTCTAATACATGCACGAAAATTACAATTTTGTTCTTGTTTATGTATATATTATACAAAGAACCACAGTTACAAGATTGAAAATAATATCATGGTCCATAGGTATACAAATTTCAATGAGTTTCTGGTGGTGCAAAAACATACCTTTGGATCACCATATTTTAGATGTGGTGGTGAAAGTGCTACATTTGCACCACCTAGTTTTTTCCACTGTATAGGTATATAAAAAAAAATGAAAAGCTGTTAATATTTTCGAGGTTTAATATGATAATATAATAATATGCAAATGTCATATATCACATGCATGATATCAGCCCCGTCACGATTACGTGTATATCGTTGTTATGTGTGTCAACAGATGCACGACCTCAAGCACCTACACATTCCGTTCAATATGAGGTTCATGGAAAATTACCCGGCGCTGCCCGCGCACCTGCTGCATCATCTGCAACCGCCGTTCTTGCATCCGGCGCTGGACCCACGGCTATCGTTTTCGCCGGCGGGTGTGTTCCAACCGCTTGGCTCGCCGAGTCCGCATCACCAACACCCGCACCACCAACATCACTCGCACCACGCGGCCGCTGCGGCCGCGGCCAGTCTCAAAGGGTTCACTTCGGCGTTCGCGCCACCGTCCAAATGCTACAAGATTGACGACAAACAGACATCGCACGCCGAAGGAGCTGCGCAACAACAGCAGCAGTCGGGTTCGCACCAACAGCATCATCAACAACAACAACAACAACAACAACAACAACAGCAGCACCAGCAGCAGCAGCAGCAGCAGCAGCAGCAACAGCAACACCAGCAGCAATCGGTGCCTCCGTCGTTTCCGTATCCGCCCAGAAGGAGTCCTTGTTCACCGGGTAATATGCCCGTATCGCCGCCGACGTCCAACGCCACCGCGACAATGCACCAGCAACACAAGGACGAGTGCTCGGACAGAGACACACCGAGTTCCGGCGCGATTTCCGAAGACGGCAGGATGATCAGAAGTAAGTGCATTTATTATTATACTCGTTTTGTCAAATAAAGTTTATACATAAGTACATAACAGTCGCATACAGACGAGGCGCGTTATACGATTGCGCCTTTTTTACCTACAAAACATACACACCACGATTGTGTTGCATTGTTTACTTTTATGTATGTTTGATCAGATATGACATCGATTATACTACAACGAGTATTTTATATTGTTTAGGGTTTTGAAGAAATTCACAATTATCGCCCTATAATTTTTATAATTATTTACTTATACTATGTTAATACGTATACTTACATATATTATAGTATAAAACATATACATACCATATTAAAAAAAGTATATAAAAACTCCACTAACTACGTAAACATTATTTTTTCTCATTTACTAATAATCCATAGCCGCTATACAATATCCACTATAGATCGTAATAGTATTTGTATAGATACTATACTATAAGTGAAATTTATTAGCCAACAACATAAAAAAAAAATGTATGCACAATAATTGTGTTGTTTTTTTAAATATTAAAAAGTAAGAAATGCTCAATCGTATTGTACTATGCAATTATTGTTATACCATCGCGCGGCTGTCGGCAGCAACTATTTCATTTTTCAACAATAAATGATATGCAACATTGCGGAGTATAAGATTTGATAGGTATAGATATTTTTTGTATAATACACGTGTAATATTATATCCATCTCCCATTTTGGATGCAAATTATTTTTATGATGATTATTGATTATCGCAGAGGCGTTCTGCAGTGGCATTTATAGGATATGACTTAAACGACCCTTGTTCCTTCCTCTTCATAATTATTTCCACTGAGCGGGTTTTCATTGTCATGTCATACGTGTTGTTACAGTTATACGTACAGGTTATCGTTAACAATAATAATAAGCAATTCAAGGGTGAACGAGAACTCGGAAGTGAATGTAATATTATGCACGTACTTGTATAGAGAGATAACATAATGTAGTCGTATCGTCTCGTGTATAATATGGAATTAGCGACGTAGTGCAATTTATATAATATATTTTAACGACCGACTCCGTCCTCGAAATACTCCAGTAGAAAGCCGATATTGTTGGTCTCACAGTAGGTAGCAAGTATTATTGGTAATGGAAAAACGATCGATATATTATAGCCCTATAAGCAGTTATACCGTTGAAAAACTCATGTCCCTAGTTTTAGTTGTTGGTGTATTAGTCTCTGTGGTATATATATGGTATAACGCTTGTACCGGATTCTGATCATTGTTATTATAATGTCTGTGGTTTTAGTATACCTGATTAGTAGGTGTTTATGTGTCATGGTTTTATAAAAAAAATTATGTGCTGTATAATTTACTCAGTGCACTTGGATTTATATAATATATTTTATATGCACTGCGTGAATCTTGTTTTTGCAATCACTTTTCGGGTGACAGTATTGCGTGTCACATTATATCGGATTACAATTTCATAATAATATTATAATATGTAGAAGAATTTAACGTTAAATATTAATATATTATACATTAAACAAACATAGGCAAGACATACTTAAACAAAAATAATAATTATTAAAAATTAGAAGTAGATAGCATATTTCATGAATGATTTAAACTTTAAACGGTTCTCATAGCAGTTTAGAAAAAAATATATTTAAATGCGATATACTACGTAATATTATACATACAACATTATGTTTTCCGTTAGTGATTTTGTAGGTAATGCACTTTTTTATAACACATATAGTACGTACTTTTAGAGTTTAATGGTTTGTTGAAGAAAACGCGTATTGTAGGAATTCACAGATAATCTTGTTGTTTTGTGTAAAAGTTTCCGGTAACGAGATTGAAGGGTGAACGGGTATAGTGATGTGAACGGTGTGGAGAGGTACCGCTAACAAGCGTGACATTACATGCCTCATCAATAGCACATGTGTCGCCGGGAAACTTTATTATAGGTTAACGTCAACTTTTGAACGCAAACTATTACATGGGTACAATTTACCCCTTTCTCGGTACAAAACTTCTATGCAACTGACTTCCGGTATCCCTTTACCGGTATACTGACACAAGTGGCTAATATTCTAGGTCGTTATGCATTGTAACAAACAAAAACAGTTTTCGGTAGTCAGTCTCTTGTAAACTGGACACGATAACGGTTTATAATGACCGTTTTGATAACCACATTTGAAATTTGACTGAACCACTGTGTCGCTGTGTCGAAGACTTTCTTCAATATATTATGCAATCTATTCTGTTCTTACACAGTGGTTGACGAAAACTTATACTTACGCTCAGCTGTTGTTCATAGGAAGTTTATAGCACTGCCAAAATAATTATTTGGGTGAAACCCGGAAGGCTGCGCGTGTAGCAAGTTCTCATATCGAGGTACCTCTATTCACTTATAAGGTACCTGACATATTAATATTTTATGCATAAAATGTCTGAAATCGAGAATTTAAATGAGAATTAGTCCCGTATTCCTTTATCTGCTGGGAACAACTTTACGAATTATACAAGTCGATGTGTTATGAGATATTATACTTAATACACCATCTCTCGTATACGCAAATTAGTAGCCTTCATTAACATGCAGTTATTAAACAATTTTTAATACTTCCCTATTGATGCAGCAGTACATAAAAGTGTATTTGAATACTGTTTGTTTGTATTATTTTGAACTTTCTGTATACCGATATAATTGAAATCTTTTGTATTAATAGTATTATCTGGTAATAATAGTTGATCTTCTTTGGTATACGTAATATTAAATAGGTACACTATTAACAAATGCGATCACTAATCACACCAGCATTATTGTAGTTGCTTATATTTTTATGACGATTATAGTCTGTTTATCATATGTTATTCAAATGAATTATACGCAGATTAATATTTAAGATATCTTCTACTTGAATAAACTAAACTCAAAAACACTATAAAATCATTTGTCTAATAATATCAATTGATTAAAATTAAATACGTCTTATAATATAATACTTATATGAAGTACATTTATGAATACTTTTAATAATTAAACGTATTTTAAATTAATTTATTAAAGATAATATGGTCTAAAAAATTTTTTTGTGAATATTTTTATGATGATTTGGTTAAGTAATGTAAAAATAAAACACGAGGTACACTTTTATTAAGAAATAAAATACTTATATCAATTTTACCAGTCATTATCGGCAAACATGAATTCTAAATTGTGCAAACATAATATAATGTTATGTAAAATAAAAATGAATTCGGTAATTTTAATATTAATTCTGCGTATAATAAACGTCTATCTAAGCGCTTGAATTACTATAATACTTATTATATAATATAGTAGGAATAAAAGATTATCTAAAACAACAAGAAAAATCATAAATAACTTAATCCAGCTAATCCTGCTTATTATTTATATATGATGGAGTGTTATCTTTTATTTATACTATTTTCAGTAACTTGTAAATTAGTTATACTATGCTTGATATACATGTATCTTAAAATCAAATAATAGACAATTTCAACATAAAGTCACTTTAATCAAATTTAATCATGTAAAACAAGTTACAAATTTGATAATTATATTCAACAAGATTAACTATTATTATGTTTGTTAACTAAATCTACTTGTATAGCATAAACACTTAACTGCGGATAATAAATATATTATACAGTCATCAAATGTGTAGTTTTAGATAAAGTTCTTAAGATTTAGTGTTCAATTATTTTTTTATGAGTAAAGACATTATTCATATTTAATTGGGTTATAGTTTTTTCTATTTTGAGTGGTTATGAATAGATTATTGTTTTCAAGAAAGTTATTGGTTTTACTGTGCAAAATTTGTTTTATGACTTTGGATGTAAAGATGTATCTAAAAGTTTTATCCCATAGAATAGATATATTTTAAAAATTCCTGATTATTAATGAAAAACAAAATATTTTTTTAGTATCTGAAGTTTTTCAGTTAAGGAATTTGGCATGATTGTATTTTGGTTATTTTGTTGTGATAAAAAAAAAAAAAAAAAAAAATGAATCAATGAATGATCAAAAAGATTTTTCAATTTGGATTCGAATGTTTGTTTTAGTCGAGTTGTTCATCGTCTTATAAATAAATATATTTAACAAGAATTTTCGAAAAATGCCCACTATTCTTCAAATCTTTACAGTGTTATTTAAGAAAAATTGTATTTGTCGCAACATCTATAAATTATTAATTTTAGTTATTTATGTCTAGTAAATGCAATTTATATTTATAAAAAATAACAACGGTGTACTTCAAACTGCCCCTATAAAGTTAATTTTATAAATTATACGATAAAACTAATACCCATATTACAATAAAAGTCTCTACACGCAACAGCGTTTAAAATTCATCTTGGGTTGTTATTATACAGTTATTACGATGTTCACAACAATATGAGTGCTTATACTTGTAAGTTATAACTTATAATCAATTACAAAGGCGGGCATTAACTAGTTAACAAGTTTAAGCTTATTAAAAATTAATTTTTTACTTTAACTATTCCATATAATTAGTTAGTTACTTTTCTAATTAATTATATTCACTAAATTAGTTATACCTAGTATCCGTTTTAATAGCTAAGCTTTGTTTAGTTGAATTAAAAAATAATATACTAAGTTGATATTATGTTTAAAAATATCAGTAACTTATTAATAACTAATGAATTATTTGTTTAATTGTTTATTCATTATGTATATGGTTTTAAATAATAAACAACTAAATATTCTTCGATTTAAGTTAAAACGTGTAACTGTCTAAACCACTATAGCTGATGTAACAGAAGTACATTCGAATTTCTTATGAAATTATTAAAAAATTCTTTGTGGAAAGGGTAGACTATGGCATAAAGTATAAAATCGTTATTTTGCATAAGTACATAACACAAAATAAGTATTCAATACCCAGTGTTATAATATTAATTATCATCGTACAGTTTTATTGCAATCAATAAAACATTAAATATATTGCATGAATTTAAATTGCAATAATATATTA